CCAAATTTTTAATTTCGTTACTTGCGACTTTTTGGGCTAGTTTAAACGCAAGTTGGGCTACTTTGGGCTATTAATATTAAGAAACTCAATGATTATTTATGCTTTAATAATATAATCTGTACAAATCACAGCAGTCCAACAACCTGATTGACTAGACCACTTACCGCAGGAGAGCCCTGGTCAGAGACCGGCCCCTGGGGACGTTGATCTTAGGAACCTTTGAAAGAAAAAGTAACCGCAAGGCAAGGTAATCCTCCCCAGGGCAATAGATTTCCCAACCTTAATTGTTAATAATACTTCATCCCAAGAGCTACACCTGGTTCCACAGATCTTCATTAAGGGGAGAAAGTTATCTAGAAATTTCCAGATTGATAAATGATGGGAAAGATCCCTTACAGTTAATACCTTTGTCAGGAAGACGATGGTTGGCAAGGAGCGGTAGTGTAAAGCGGCCGTTTGATCAGTGGGGTTCTCTAACAACTCATTACCAAATAGCTTTTTCCTCTTGTGATAAATATGTTGCAAGGCAACTATTTTCAATGTACGCTGGTCCCTCCAATAAGCTATATTTCACATGTCTCAAACCAATCCTAAATGATTTTGAAAGGATGAATTTACTTTATCAAAAGATGAAGCAGATCAGAATAGCCTTCACACTCTTAGAAAACTTCACTCTTGGAATACTCAGAAGAATCTTTCGTCCTCATCATGCAAAGCTTCATGTTAATTTGGACTACATTTCTATGTATCTGCCCCTGGAGAAAGTTGACTTTGGTTACGAATTTTCAACACTTCTGGCCACTAACAGACAAAGCAATTTTACAACCCAGGAAAAGTTTCAAAATGTTCAAGAAAGATGCGATAATTTTTTTAATGAAAGCTTGCAAATAGTTTCTTTCTGGTATTCTAAGTAATGTTGAAACTATAAAAAAAGGTGAAAAATCTGTTACCTATCATATGCCTTAGCTTACATGGCCACCATTTTCGGAACTTCCGATAGTATTAGCTGACCAATCTAAGCTTAGTGAAATTGAAAGTCAGTGGCGCCTACTGTTAACCATTGACTAGTCCAACATTTGTAAGGGACAAATTCAGACATCTGAATCGTCATTTTAGACCAAGACATTAACTGTCAAGAACACTGCTGGCGATCCCATACTGATTGATCTCGCTGAGTTTGTGTTGAAAATATACAGCTTGCCAATCAGTAATGCCCTGGTTGAACGGATATTTTCGAGAGTAACGTCTGTGAAAACTAAACTGAGAAATCTTGAATGGGAATGGGACTTGAGCTTTTGACATCAGTCTTGAGAATCAAAACATATCTTGAAGAAAATGTAACTTGTTGCTCGTCATTTGAACCACTCATGTCAATGCTTAAATATGAGTCTGCAATATACAAGAACGAGGTTGTGGATGCAGATCAAGATCTTGGTAATCTTCAACTGTAAAGACGTGGAAGGACTTCACACCCATTAAGCTTCAAACAGTAAATATTGGTAAGTTATCATATTGGTTAAATATATATATATGCAGAGGTAATGTTATTAAAATAATTAAAATCGTTTAATGTACTCTATATTTCACAACAGATTACTTTGAAACCCGTATCAGTCACTAAACAAAAAATTGGGCTACTCTTATTACAAATTCGCTACTTTTAGCAGTTTGAATCTGGCAACCCTGCTCGGGTCGCTCTGTTGAAAATACATAATTATATATTATATATATGATAATATAATCCTTGTGTACAAGGATTATATTATGATCATCCAGGGTGGCCACAGCCTTGCCCGGAGCCACCCACCCCACCCATAATCCCTTCATTCACAAGTTCCAGGATCCACCGCCACCCGTAACAACTCATCTTCCCCCAGCCATTCACTAGTTCCATGTTCACCCCCCCCCCCTATGTCCCCCCCCCCCAGTATCACCCTCCCCATTTACCCTGATGGAAGAGAGAGATATCTCCTGCTTTAACATCGGCTCTAATTTCCGTTCCATTCTATTATTAAAATGGAACGGCATTTGAATTTCACATTCAAGAAGACTTATCTTAATTTATTTCTTCACGGAGAATTAGTGAGGTTCTCAGAAAGCAAAAAATCCCAAGACAGCGCAGTCTCACAATTTTTTGTTTAAATCCGGTAAAAGATGGGCTCCAGGATCCACGAGTGCTATGGGTTCGCCTTGAGTGAAAAAGTGTGAAGGAATTTGAGAATTTAAGCGTCGAGGTGGTATCGGGTATTATATTGCCGACTCTGGCAAGAGGCCTCGTGTCAGGGAGAAGTGGGAGTTGTTAGGGCCGTTGTAATGTCAGGGTTGAGGAGAGACCTGATCATTCTCAGGGTATGGGGGGCGTTCACGCGTGTTTCATAATAAAAGGCTCTTATGTTCACTAGCGTTTTTTGTTGCTGTGGGATTATTTCTTCGCTTTGTGGGTGGCTGAGGGTTTGGTCTGGTGCGCTCGGCGGTATAGGTCAACAGGTCTGTGGTGGTTTACCTGGAGCATACCTGGAGAGGGTTCCAGGAGTTGTGTTCCCCGAGCCCGGCCCCTGGCCAAGCTGGGATTGTGATAGCTTGGTTCAATAGGTTGTTGCTTGGAGCGGCCCGCAGGCCCACATATCCACTACAACCCGGTTGGTCCGCTTCCTTGTTGCCGAAACTTATCTAATTGCTTCTTGTTCAAGTCCACCTTTGTTCAGGCAATATTTCTAATGCTGATGATGTTAAGTCAGTGCTCTCTGTGCCTGTGGCACCTCTACTCCTCACTGTTATATTCTGCATTTCCTTCCGTGTCTTTTCCTCCAGTGTGTTGTTATTTTACTGTGCAAATTTGGGACCTGGCCCTCCAGTATCTTCCTTGTATATATTATTTGATACCTTTCTCGTCTCCTTTCCAAAGAGTACATTTTGAGAGCTTTGAGACGATAATTTACATATTTTATCGTTTCTATGCGTGCCGTATATGTTCTCTGTATTCCCTCTAATTCAGAGATCTCTCCCGCTCTGAAATTTGGAGTGAGTACCGAGTAATACTCAAGACGGGACAGCACCAGTGATTAAAATAGTGGTTAGCATTGCTGTGGGGTCTCTGGATTAGAACGTTCTCATAATGCATCCTATCACTTTCCTGGCCGCCGCTATATTTGCTTAGTTATGTTCACTAAATGTCAGGACGTCAGACGTCATAATTCCCAAATCTTTTACAAGTTGGTTTCCTTCTATAATTGTCCGATTGTGTCCTGTACCCTGTGACCTGTACCCTGTGTTTTGTTAAATTTCCTCGTTTCCACTATATCTAATTACCTGGAACATGTCACCGTTAAACATCATGTTATTTTCAGTTGCCCAATCGAAGGCTTTATTATTATCTGCCTGTAGTTTTTCAGCGTCTTCTACAGAAGAAATTTTCATGCCAATATTTATATCATCTGCAAAGGATGACACGAAGCTGTGACCAGTATTTTTGTCAATATCCAGCAGCTCCCCCTTGTTTTGGTAGTACTTAAAGTAACGATGTATATATACCACAGTAACGAAAATTATACCAGTACTGACGAAATTAGGACGTAGAAATCGGCACTATTGAGTGGGACAAACCGGAAAACTATTTATTACTTGTGTTGTTTTGACAAACAACATAACCTTCCAAGGCCAAATACACGATATCTGAAGTCTAATATAATACGTATGTGTGCTATACCAGGTCTAGAAATAGTTAACTTCATTTTGCTTTTAATTCCCTAATAGTCAGTATACTACAACTGTATCTAAAAACTATGTACGTACGAATTCGTGACTATTGACAATCGTCGTAATAGGTACTATCTAAACAGGAGGATGGGTTGCAATATATGATACCAGAATGTGAAATATCAGCGGTGCAAGGACTGTGTCCTGGGGTACAGAGCTTTTAACTGCACTTGGGTTTGATCTTATTTAACTGACCTTCACTCTCTGTATTCTGTTTGACAATAAGTTGAAAGTTCAACGCCCCACTTTACCTGTTATTCCTATTGATCTTATTTTATGGGCTATCACTCCATGGTCACATTTGTCGAATGCCTTTGTAAAGTCTGTGTATATAATATCTACATTTTATTTTTCTTCTAAGGCTTCTATGATTTTGTCATAGTGGTTGAGTAACTGTGACAGGTAGGATCTTCCCGCTCTAAATACACGTTGACCTGGATTCTGTAGTTCATTATTTTCCATAAAACTGGAAATTTGATTCTTAATCACAGTTTCAAAAACTTGTATTATATGTGATGTTAATGCAAGTGGTCTATATTTTTTGCCAAAGCTTTACTACCCCCCTTGTGCAGAGGAGCTATATCTGATGATTTAAGTGATGCTGATATCTCCCCTGTATCCAGGCTCTTTCTCCGTATTACACTGAGCGCTCGCGCTACTGGTACTTTACATTTCTCTATGAATATTGAATTCCATAAGTTAGGACTTCTGGCAACCCCGACCAGCCTATGTTTATCCCGTACCCTAGACCATTCCCTCTGCCAATTTGGATGAGGTGTAGAGTTAAACGTCTGTCCTCCAACTTAGGACACAGCCATCCTTTTATGGTAAATATTTTAATACCTCTCCCGTCTCCATTCCAGAGAGTACATTTTGAGAGCGCTTACAGGGGTAAATGTATTTAACAGACAGTTATGAATATAATTTTAGAAAGTGAATTTGAATTCCATGAGCATCGGTTGACTAGATGAGGAAGGCAACTTGGAGATGTCTATAGATAGATATAGTTAGTCAGCGGGAATGTCTGGCCTCTGATACTGGTGTTCTTGGGTATACATTTCAATCATCTCCAACAGGTAACTAATGGAGATGATTCTGTGTGTGTGTGTGTGTGTGTGTGTGTGTGTGTGTGTGTGTGTGTGTGTGTGTGTGTGTGTGTGTGTGTGTGTGTGTGTGTGTGTGTGTGTGTGTGTGTACTGACTTGTTTGTCTATGTGTGTACTGACTGTGTGTATTCTCCGGCAGGATCCGCACAGTTCGTCGAGCAGCGAGTCGGAAGATGAACCGGTGAACAAACTGCGCCGGTTGTCGACTTCGTCAGTGTCGTGCGGGTCATCGTCCTCGTCGTGCGGCTCCCCGTGCCCTTCGCCGTGCTTCGACTACCGCCCTCGACACACCCATCGCTCCAGATCGCGACGCTGGGTAGCCTATGACTCCAACCTGTCGGAGGCTGGCTCATACATCGAGGTAAGGGGGAGTCCTCGCTGGTGGACGACCCGTCGGCAAACTCTGCTTCTCTACCAAGTACAATAAGAACTATTATATTATGTATGTCTGTGTTGAGAGCGGCGCTGCAAACCGTGATAAGTTCCTTGGTATTACTTTTGTCTTTTGGGGTAGAAAAACTGTGGCCAGCTGGCATAAATTAGGGCTCCGTGTCCATGAATTTTGTCACGCCCGTGTAATGTAGGAGTTCTCTTCTGTAGCCAAGTTAAAATAACTTGTACAACCCCTAGAGGAGAGAGAGAGCAGAGGGGGACTTGATCACAATATACTAGATACCGTGCGGATTACACAAGGTGGACAAGGACGATCTTTTTACATTTGGTTGGGTCATTTAAGGGTGTTAAAAGATAAAATGCATACCTAATAGTATCTCTTATAAGCTCAGTAGTGGTGTTACATAGTCTCTGGGGTGCGTGTCTCTTGATGAATCCCCATTAGCACTGTTGCATGACGATATATTAGTGGTGACAAAACTGTGGACACAAATATATACTTGTTATATTATGATAAACATTTCATTCATTTGTTTTACTTCAAGGAAGAAATGGTGAACCATCAGAATGTTTAGATATGTCTAGAATAATGTAATTTTCAATTATATTTTTTTCCTGTAAGTGTTAGTGAAGAAGGCAGCTGGCTATAGACACGGGAACTTTGTGTAAATGTAAATAGTACAGAATAGTGATCCCCGGGCCATGGCCGACCGGGGATTGGGGCCGAAGTCAAGAGATACTCTACATAGATATTGGAGACAGCGCTTAGTTGTTCCATGAACCCAGTGTAAGCTGCAGGTGCCAGTGGTGACCACCAATGTCAGTGGGCTATTGACTGGTGTTACAAAAAGCAGGTTACTTGCCTCAGTGTTGCTGTGCCCAGTTGGGGATAATGTGACGCTGTAACTCTTGGGCGGTGGGACTGGTTTAAGAGCTCTCGCACACTAATCCTTGTTTGGGGGCTTGACCAACGTGGTATGACCACGGTGTCTATATTGGCGGGATGCAGTATGTCCAGCATTGTGTTAGTATGCGCTGCTGATAACACATGATCTTATCGCACATTTTTCTCACCTAATCTACCAATAGCATACATCACAGCTGCCTCGGGTACTTCTCTTACTCAGTCTACCTTATTTTTTATCTGGTTGCTGCTTCACTATACCTGTTTCATTTGCCATACACATACACACTATTTATATTAACTAGCTCTTGTATTCATTACTCTGGGTTTGTTATTTAAACACTTCATTTCTCATTTAATATTTGTTCATTGTGATTTTTTTTGTCAATGTGTTGGTTTTGGGTTTTATTGCTTACACTGTAGAGCTTTACTGTGGTCCTCTGGTCCCTGTTGGAATGTGTTATTTCTTAATGTGATTATATCAATAGAAACACCTTGTGTTTATGATAGCTTCTTGGTTCACAAGTTTTGTGTTTTATTTTGTCTATGTTCACGACTTTGTACTCTACCTGTGTACTCTCGCTTTCCACCACCTGTGTACTCCCACCACCTGTGTGCCCCCACCTCCCACCACCTGTGTACTCCCATCTCCCACCATGTGTGCTTTCTGCACTCTACCACTTGAGCATGTACTCTTCACATAATGTGTGCCTGGGGGAGGGCAAGTGTGTGTGTGTGGTGTTGGGGTTGTGAAATGTTGGAGGGACGTGAGTTATTTCCTGCACCCTGACTGTTTAATTCTGCTCCACACCGTCACAGATCGCACCGCCAGCCTCATGCAGCAGTCCAGCTCATGAGTCCAAGGTAAACCAACTTTTCTCTCGCACAGCTGCCTGCTGCTCCTGCTGCTGCCTGCTGTCACTATCCTCACCCCGCTTACCTTTGTCTTCTGCTTTGTACTGCATGACTACCGCTGGTTCCTTAACCCGTAAGACCTGTATTATGTGTCGTTAACTGTTGGTTAATGTTGTGTTTTAATCCATTTAACTGTTGGTTAATGTTGTGTTTTAATTCATTTAACTGTTGGTTAATGTTGTGTTTTAATTCATTTAACTGTTGGTTAATGTTGTGTTTTAATTCATTTAACTGTTGGTTAATGTTGTGTTTTAATTCATTTAACTGTTGGTTAATGTTGTGTTTTAATCCATTTCTTTTTAATAGTAGTAGTAGTAGTAGTAGGCATCCATCAGTCTCGGGAGACTATGGAGTTGCGCTCTGGATGTCGGTCTGGAGTGGCCTCTCCAGGGCGCAAAGCCAGCGTAGGTTAATAACTTTTACGGTAGGTTGATTCATTCTTAAGTGCTCAAGTTATTGCTCTTTAGACTGATTTGTCAAGGCTACTTTACTCCTTGTTCGAAACATAATTAATATTGGCAGTACCCGAACCATACTTGGTTTGATACTACTTTGTCTTTTTCAAATAATGATAATGTATATTGTGTGTGTGAGGAGAGGACGGTTGTATGTATGTATGGAGCGGGGGGGGGTGACTGTGGACACGTTGAGGGAGTATGTGGGGGAGGAATCATGGTGTCTGAATAATAATAATAATAATAATTATAATAATAATAATAACAACAACAACAATGCTATATGTTACTGACTGACGTCTAAAAGGTCCTTAAATAGGACGGTTAATAGGTCGGTTACATTCACAAAGAATGGGATGTATGGTACAACACATTAATACTAGCATAATATGAGCCTACACATCCATTAACACACACGTGACTGATAACAGGTATGAGTGCACACTTGCACAGTGTGTGGGGGGGGGAGGTGTGTGCTTAGATAATGTGTGTGTGTAGATAACTTGTGGTGAGTGAGGACGTGCACGTTGACAGTGAGCCAGTGTGACCCTGGCTCACCAGGGTGCTGGTGGCTCATGTGTCCCGCTGCTCGTGTGTACAGCACACTACAGATGCGCGCATGCGGCTAGTCCTTGCATGAACCGCGCATATTGCCTGGTCGCTCGCATGCAAAGACCGGCTGTTTTAAGGTCGAATTGTTTACTAACTTGATTTTAACATTTATGTGCACGTTGAAAAGTATAGATATGAGATTGATGTACGCATGTGACGAGGAAACATGTCTATGAATGATGTATTAAGCTACGTTCTGCTCTGGTGTCTTCAGGATGACTACGTGTGTGTGAGTGGGGAGAGCGAGTGTGGTTTGGCGACGCCCCTGCCAGCCACCCCCTCCACACTGCCCCATCCAGAACCAATGGTGGTGGAGCCCGAGGACCAGCCCCTCGCCGCTACACCCACCACGGCTGTCCAGGACGTTCCTGACGTCGGCGAGAGCTCCTGCAGGAACTTGGCCGCGGCTGCGCAGGACCACGACATGGTGGGTAGTGCCGGCCTGGACACAGTGCGTGTTCGCTGTGGTCAGCAGTCTCCTGCAGACATTCTGGCAGAGGTCACCATGATCCATGACACTGCTAAGCCTTCCACTGTCACTACCGCAGCTGCCACTTCCACTGACCACGAGATGGAGAATGTGAATCAAGTGAACGGTAACAGCCTGGTGTCTCCCGCAGCCACTGAGGACTCCGGCCTTAACCTAAGTTCTCCTTTAACTGAAATGTCTGGCAGCAGCGAAGTGAGTCCAATAAGGGATTCGCCCTCCAAGACCAGCTGTACTAACGTTGAGCGGCCCTCGCCCAACTGCGCCACGTTTGATTTCAAGCACCAAGACACTGACACCGAAGAAGCCGCCACCAATACCACCACCAGCACTGCCACCGCCGCTTGTCAAGCTAATCTCAACCTGGTTGACTGCGACCCCTCCAGGAACCGCGTCTACCAGATCCGTCGGCGAGCCATCAGCACGGTGCGCCGCGTGTCCGCCCGCACCAGGCTCGAGTTCAGTGGTGACGAAGAGGTTGATCAAGAAGCCCTCCAAAGAATTATAGACACGGCTGTGCCCGATGACCTGGATTGGCTTAACTCAAACATGCCGAGTGACATCGATTTTAGTGAGGAAGAGGAAGTGGTGGGTCATGAGCATATGGACACTGGCAGCGATGGCGGCACTCAGCAGCAGCAGCAGCAGCAGCAGCATGCACCAGAGCAGCACGAGACACAGCGAGCGATCAGTAAAGAGTCACTCACCAGGCTGGTTTGTGACGCAGAACGCCTGGTACGGGAGCCAATGGAGGGTGATGAACCACCTCCAATAGTCTCCCCACGACCACATCAGCTGCCGCTGAACGGCGTCTCTGGGTACAGCGGAGTGAGCAGCAAGCAGGCGCGAGTAAAGCAGTGGATCGCTACCCAGCGTCGCGAAGTGCGTCTTTCCGCCACCTGCGTCCTGGACTCGTGCGACGCCTCAGGAGAGCTCACTACCGGGGAGAGCGACGTAGAGACGGCATCATCCGATGACATGGACGCCTCCACCGCTACACACCACGCCACCTCCACCAGAGGCTCCATGCGGGGCTCCCAGAAGGGCTCCTTGAGGGGTTCCCGTGACCCGCTTCCCTCGGCCGACAACACTCCGACAGCAGATAAGATGACAGTCGTGCCACAGCCACCCGCTGCCGACGCCTCGCAGACCAAGGTAATTAATATAAGTTCTCACCATCCATCGTCGTACCCAACCACTTGGACTGGACGGTAGAGCGACGGTCTCGCTTTGTGCAGGTCGGCGTTCAATCCTCGACCGTCCAAGTGGTTGGGCACCATTCCTTCCCCTCGTCCCATCCCAAATCCTTATCCTGATCCCTTACCAGTGCTATATAGTCGTGATGGCTTGGCACTTTACCCCTGATAGTTCCTTTCCCTTTTTGTTTTTCTTTGTCAAGGTGCCACATAGTCTTCCCGGCTTGGCGCCTTCTTTGATAATTACTTATTAACTTTCCTCTGTCAAAGGTGGTTATGCGAAACCGAAAGCGGCGTTCGGGCGAGCAGAGGCCGTGGAGTGTGAGTGAGCTGTACCAGCTGGCCACCCGCCTGGACATGGCCCCGTACTCCGTGTCGGAAACTGCGCTCCATAACCTGCTCTCCGCCACCCCGGAGACCCCGACCAACGACAACCAGGCCTTGTGAGTACTACTACTACTACTCTCCACAATTCGGAATTCAGACTGATAGAATGAGGTACACAGGTCAACAAGTATCATTATCGCTAAGCCAATATGGCTGTATAGCATGTGGGAAAGATGGAAATGAAGGGGGAAGGTTGTTATAGATTGTTACTCGGAACAAGTTCCAAGTAGCACGGGCTATGGTGAGCCCGTAGTGGACTTACCTCGCACAGGAGCGGTCAAAAGGGGAAGGAGGTAGGCAAGTTGGTGGACTGAGGTCAGAGTATATGTAGGAACGCTGCCCAACCTACTGGCAGCTACAGCCCCGCTTGTGCCAGGTAAGTCCACTTCGGGCTTACCATAGCCCGTGCTATTTGGAACTCTTTGTTCCCTGTAGCTGAATCATTAACAACAAACCTACTGGATCATTGGGGATGAAGCTCTGACCTTGTAAGAAGCGGGGCCACGATCCTTTAAAATTTATACATATAGTAAATTATTAGAAAAATACAAATTTTTCGTATTATATTTTGTAAAGCATATTCTTCATTCTAAATTTGACATAAAGCTTCTTAAAGTATGCACCACATTCTATCTGCTGTGCGCGTTACCACTCCCATTTACCATTAATTAAAAGTCAAGTCTTCGATGCATTACATTTGAAAGAAAACCGCAATAAACAGTCTTATTGCAAGGAAAATCTAACGATACCGTTATTGTTTGTTTTCTAAAACGAGTCACAGAATGTGCAGTGTGTTTGGCCGCACGTAGAGAGTGATGCTGGTGGAGGCGTCCTTGGTTGATTGATTGATGAAGATTAAGCCACCCAAAAGGTGGCACGGGCATGAATAGCCCGTAAGTGGTGGCCCTTTGGAGTCATTACCAGTATCAATAGCTGATACTGGAGATCTGTGGAGGTGCGACTGCACCCTACGGAGAGGTCGTGCCCTCTGGAGGCTGTTCCTTGGTTGATTCCTACCAATGAAGCCCCAACCTTGCGATTTCGGGGTTCAGCGTCCCCGCGGCCCCGTCCTCAACCAGGCCTCCTTGAGCCAACAACAATATATTAACTGCAGTTTCTATTAAATTGTAATTAACCGACACAAATTACATTTCATTTCCTTTGAATTCTATTTTTGTAGAAGAATCTTGGTTTAATTTGTTGGGTAAATGCTCTTAAGAGAACCACAAACCAAATTTAAAACAGATTGTTGTAGTTGAATTTAACTCGTCGTGATGTCACTTTTTTTTGTTTTTACATTTACTAAGAGATATCGAGAAATCTGGGCCGCCGCCGCCTTGTCGAGACGTCTGGATTACCAGAGAGCGAGAGATGTGACCACAAGGGTGGGGGGATGGGGGAGCATGACTCACCACCACCATTGTGATGAGTAGGCTCTTGGCCTGATAGCTGCACAACACTCACTAGCCTGAGATAAGCAACCTGTTTACACACGTACTCACTGTCGTGGGTAATTGATGTTTACTCATAGTCTGGTGCTGTACTTGGGTGGTGTTTGTAGCTGCCTTTCCCTGTACTGTTCTTCATTCATCACCCACCTCTAAATCTCATCTATAATGCTCATCATTCACCCACTGTAATACTCATCCACCACCTACCAGTGTACTGTTCCTCATCCACCACCTACCAGTGTAGAGCTGCTCCTCCACCACCCACCTACCCTGCTGCAGGCGGGGACTGTTGGATGACAGCGGACTAAGTAAATAAGAAACGCCATTTCCGGGACTGCATGAATCGTGGAGGAGTGAGTACCAGCCTCCCAGTGAGGCTGGCGGCCCTCGTCTGCATCACCAGTCACTCATCGTCAATGATAGACCACAGTGCCCCGTGGGCATGTATAGACCACAGTGCCCCCGTGGGCATGTATAGACCACAGTGCCCCCGTGGGCATGTATAGACCACAGTGCCCCCGTGGGCATGTATAGACCACAGTGCCCCCGTGGGCATGTATAGACCACAGTGCCCCCGTGGGCATGTATAGACCACAGTGCCCCCGTGGCCATGTATAGACCACAGTGCCCCGTGGGCATGTATAGACCACAGTGCCCCGTGGGCATGTATAGACCACAGTGCCCCCGTGGGCATGTATAGACCACAGTGCCCCCGTGGGCATGTATAGACCACAGTGCCCCCGTGGGCATGTATAGACCACAGTGCCCCCGTGGGCATGTATAGACCACAGTGCCCCCGTGGGCATGTATATATATAAACCACATTAATCTTGTAATATCACTATAAAAGCTATAAAAGGCAATAACATTGACTATTACATGATACTGGGACCACTAAGATAAGATAAATATCCAAAGAAAGCGATATGACCGGTATGACTATATAACACTGAGATAAGATTGGTGCGAGGTATACTGAAAGTATTCAGAGTTGTGATGCAGTATAACATGGCTGGTCTCCTGGTTGTAGCGTTCAGTATACTTTTCAGTATGCTGTGTAAGGTAAATGTTGTATTTTGTGATGTTGAAGTTAAGCAAGTAACGAGTGGAGAAACTAGAGTTGTATGGTGGGTTGTATTGCTTAAGTGGGGGGAATGTGTAGGTGTTCAGCCCTCGGGGCGTTGTGAACACACCGTCCCACTGGGGAAACTCCGCTACCCAATATTGTTCAAGTTCTTGCGAATATTGTGGTGTTGAGTAGTGTGAGGGTGGTTGTGGTCACCAGTGTGAGGGGGGAGGGGGTTGTGGTCACTAGTGTGAGGGGGGGGGGTTGTGGTCACCAGTGTGAGGGTGTTGTGGCCACCAGTGTGAGGAGGAAGGGGGGGAAGGGAGCGGGGGCTGCTTCATCTCATATCAGAGTTGCAAAAGTTTCAGGGCAAAATTCAAATCATTTACGCCCAGTTTACCTGAAGCCTAGCAAGCCGGGTCACGATTCATCGAACATTTACACAACCACATAAGAAACCTGTACATCTTTCCTCAATCTTCACCTGCGTTTACATTTATCGTACAGTTTGAGCTCCAAAGCACCATAAGGCTATGTATTGCTGCAGTAACCTTGGGTTGTGAAGGTTCAAACCTCACAAACTGTTTAGTAAATGTAAACGAAGCCACCGTGACTGAGGAAAGATGTACAGCTTGAGTAAATGCTGGATGGGTCCTGGTGTAGGACATTTGAACGGTCTAGCCTCGTCATGTTGTCCCTATCCTTGGACTGGTGTAGGACATTTGAACGGTCTAGCCTCGTCATGTTGTCCCTATCCTTGGTCGTCTGTTCATGCAAATGTTGTTTTTACATACATGATGAACAGGAACGTTGTTTTGTCTTTGGTGGAAACTGGTAATGTCACGAGAGTGAAGAGTCGTGTGACCTGGATGCCAGCGGCCTCAGGCAGCTGTCGTCCTCTACACTAGACTTGAAATCTCACCGGCATTTTCTACCTCTAGAGTAATTAGCTCTATATATCTGTGTGTCTTGTAAGGCAGATTTTAAATTGGCGATATATTGATTTAATTGTTGAGTCCCCCACGACTCACGTGTCATAAAGTGTAAATTTCCAAGTGATGTCGAGACTGGCTCCAGTCTTCCTGGTCTTGCACAGGCCGGCCTGAGCTGGTGGAGAGAGCACGTGACTCGAGCACCAGAGCATGGACACACCGGGGTGGTGTGTGGAGGACCGGGGTGGTGTGTGGAGGACCGGGGTGGTGTGTGGAGGACCGGGGTGGTGTGTGGAGGACCGGGGTGGTGTGTGGAGGACCGGGGTGGTGTGTGGAGGACCGGGGTGGTGTGTGGAGGACCGGGGTGGAGGCTGCTGGCATCCCCAGCTCGGAAGTGATGACGATTACAGCCGGACATATTGGTTGTTTGTCACGGTGGCCCTGAGCACACACCATGTTGATCAGTAGTGAAGAGTCGTGCTAGTCGTTATGCTGTTATGATCGCCGTTGAAACCTTCGTGTTGTGAACGGTGTGGAGAGCGGTAGTACGGTGTGGGAGCCTCGGACCCATGACCTGTGCACCAGCCACGTCAGTGAGTGGCAGTTTCCCCCACGACTCACTAGTGACTTGGGTGGTGTGGCCGCCACACGCAGTTTCCAGCCGTGCGCAGTCCTTCTCCTTTCATCCAAGAGTGTTGTTTGTGTCTGAAAAGTTATTCTCTGAAAAATACCGTTGATAAAGTTTAAGAACGTCTATAACAGATTTGACGCATTACTCATGAGAGAATAACAGTGCAGCCAGAGTGTCTCTTAATTATGTAGTCATTCAAAACAGGATGAATTGATGGAAGAACATGTAGCGTAGTACCGTAATACATATATCCAAACATTATAGCAAGTTGAAAATCGGTCTTGAAAGTCAGCATGTTGGCCCTCAGTAACTACCTGAGCATTGTGGTGTTCGAGGGGCCCCATGGGTTAGTATCAGACTCGTATTTCAACAGTTCGTAACCAAAGCTTGTTGACTGTCGTATTGATAATGTACAAGTCAAGCCCCGGGCCAGGCTTGGGGAGTAGAACAACTCCCAGAACCCCATCCAGGTACATACCTGGAGTGGGTTCTGCGAGTTGTTCTTCCCAAGCTCGTCCTGGGCTCTCAGTGTTTCATATTATCTTATTTCTTAATATTGTCATGCAGCCGTAACTCACAACGTGACCATACTTGCCGTTCTCACTTGTGACATGCCTGCATCGAAATACAATTTATGTTGTATAACTAGATTGTGGTCCGGAGGCTTCGCCAAGCCACTAGGATTACCCAAGGATCATACATTATCCCAAGTGGTATTGACGCAGAACACTAGGACGCTTTGCGTTCACTTGAAACTTGAACAATAACACTTGTTAATTATTATAATTTTCCAGCACATTAATATGTACACATCAGCACTCACAGGCTGTCATGTACTTACTTTCACTGTACATAACTCTAGTGGAAACACTAACATGTCTTTCTGTCTACAGATCGTCCATATATATGTTTAAAAGTTACCAATATGTTACTTTCGTTTTCCCTTCAGTGGAATAGGCGATGCCACCGCCGCCGGCAGCGCTTCACTGGGGGAGTGCACCACACCCCCCACCACCACCACCATCACCACAACCACCACTGTCAGCACCCCCACCACTGCCAACTTGAGCAACATGTCTAATTCCACTATCATCACCACCTCCACGCCAGTTTCCACAGGGCGCTTGTCTCCAGCAACTGCTGGAACAGGCTCCCTCAGAAGAAGGAAAACAAGAGCTCGCAGGAAGTCTAACCTTTCCCTGGTCAGTATTGCTGCATTATTTTTCCCGTGTATTACACCTATATAATTTTTCAACATAGATATATTTCTTTTTTTACATGTACAATTCGGTAAGTATAATTATTGTAGTCACCCCGGGAATTTTATTGAAGAAAACTGTAGTGACTCACGTTATTCGTTTTCTCTTTCTCCGTTCTAGGGGAGACGAACGGATTCCGGTTCGGAGGGCATCACATTGAACTTATCAGGAGGTTCAGACAGCATTCATCTGTCGCCCAGTCGTCGTCTCTCTCTCTCAAAGTCACACTCGTCTGGATCGGACACAACGGCACACTCCAGGAGACACATCATCAAGAGTTCGTCTTTCTCTGGTGAGCAATTAAATAGGAATTAACCACAACTCGTATGAAGGTGACGCTCGAGCGCATGTATTCAGCATTGCAATGCTCCCACATAATGCTTATACATCCAAATATACAGCCAACACTCGCCCAACACGGTATGAATGTGTGTGTATATATGTATGTATATGTACGTATGTGTGTGTGTGTATGTGTATAAAGTATATGTGGAAGCTGATCAGAATTCTGTTTCACCTTTGTGAATGCACATTGACACTGTAAAAGACACATCGAACACTTTATGTAGGGCATACTTAAATCTATGCATCTATGTATTTACGTATGAAGCTTAGCCTAGCGTTTTAAAAGCACTACAATCACCTTCTGTGGTTGATTGTTCAATAAACCCCTGAATTATATGTTTAACAAATCTCTAACCCTGTCCATGGAGGACAGAAGAAAATGTATATATGCTGGTTAGCATTGTAAATGTGTGGCCACGTCTGTGGTAGAAAATAATAAAAAATAAAAATAAAAATAAAAAAATAAAATAAAGTCTTCAATGTTCAGTGTCTCTGGAAGTGGTGAAGGCGGTGGTTATCTTGAGGTTATCTTGAGATGATTTCGGGGCTTTACTGTCCCCGCGGCCCGGTCCTCGACCAGGCCTCCACCCCCAGGAAGCAGCCCGTGACAGCTGACTAACACCCAGGTACCTATTTTACTGCTAGGTAACAGGGGCATAGGATGAAAGAAACTTTACCCATTGTTTCTCGCCGGCGCCTGGGATCGAACCCAGGACCACAGGATCACAAGTCCAGCGTGCTGTCTGCTCGGCCGACCGGCTCCGACCGGTGTCCGCCACTCTCACCACAGTTACTGCAAGCTCCGACGCTTGCAGTAACCTCTGTGCACATGCGGCTCTTGCTTGGATACAAATATTATTGTGAACATGAAACGGGTGCTAAAGATAATGAAAGCAAGAGTAAATGATGTGGTATATTAGTCTCCCCCCTTACCCATTATGTCTTGAGTGCCCGCTAATTAATGTATATAGAAGTACTGAGATAAGGACCGTTCCTGAACAAATAGTCTGGTTGTGTCACAATGCAAAGATTGTTGATGTTCTGCAGATATATGAGAATTTTGCACCGCGGTTAAGTGCTTTCGTTGATTTGTCTCAATGTATATTTGTAGCCTCTCGTGTGTGTATACACATATATTCCTAGTTGTATAGGTACAAAAATACATATTTGTATTTGTGTGTGTTTTGGTATAATGTTGCCCGTGTACAGGAAGAAATGTGTATCAGCCAGAATGATGAGTAATGTCACACGGACCAACCTCTCATACAAGTATAGTTTTGTTTTGTTTAGGATCTAATCAAAGTTAGAGGTATAATTTGAATAAAGTCATTCTGTTGGAGTAGCTTCACCCTAGGCAATAGCATATGTAGATTATTATGAAACAGTAATCCTACATCTGCCTGTTGAGGGTGGCAGCAGCAGCAACAGCATGGTGGACAAAGGTGGTAGGTGGAAGTTTGAGTGAGTGACCCAGCCCAGGGAGTAAGGACCTGCATAAGACAGTCACTCTTATGAGGTAGTGAGGGTGAGCGGTAATGAGGCAGACGTCGGTGAATGCACAAGGATAAATATAGCCTAGTTGACGCGTGTGGTGGTGAGGGCCGCGCGGCTCCCATAGTCTCAGTATACGCTCCCTGCATAACACCTACTCCCTCAAGATCTGTGCGTCTTGGATCATATCCTTTGTATAATTGTGAGCTAGAAAACTGGCTGCTAAGTGTATGCGCAATGGTTAGACAATATTCCTGTGCTCAAAGTATTTTTAAAAGTGTTTTATGATAGTGTTGACACCAGTTTAGTGTAGTTAAGAGGGCTGTTAAACGTGTGTGTGTTTGTTCTACAGGAGCATGCCGCGCTGGTTCTGGCGGGATGACCTCCTCCACCGAGAAGTGTGTGTCAGACTGTGGAGGCGTTCTGGGCGTGCCCCGTACGCCCACACACGCCCAGGGAGACAACTGCTACTCCAGTGACGACTCTCGCCCGTCTAGCCCTGTACCGATGATCAGAGAATTGGTGCCCAACCACAGTCCAGCCCACGCCGCCCGCACCGCCACCCACATGAGCGAGCAAGAAGCCCAAAACACACATGAGGACATGAGTTCGTTGTCAGAGCAAGCGTGGGACCCTTACCAGGTGAGTCGCAAAGCTTGGTTCCATTGTTTTAATATGTCATTAGAGTATGATAGCGTATTTAGTCGTGATATTTAGTACGGTCTAACTGTAGTGCATGGTGTCCACACAGGAATACAAATACCTGAGTGAGCCCTACTCCGAGGACATTGACCAGGAGGCAGCGCGACGACTCCTGGACTTCGGCGACGACTACCGCAAATACATAGACTCGGACGGGGCGTCGTCCTTCTCTGGCATCCCCCACAGGGGCCGCCGCTCCCCGCACCATCGCCGCCTTCGTAACTTAGCTCCTCCGGGACCTCGCGACCTGGATTCGGACTCCGACTTGGATGACCTACACCATGTGATCGACGAGTCCAGGTCACAACTCACAGTTACAGAGAACGTCCTTAAGAAGTACTCCAAGGAATCCGCTCTAGGATTGGATTATGTGAGTAGTTTTCATACGAAAGTTTAGTCCAGGTTTGTGATTTAATGTTATACATACTGTATTATGTATTATACGTTGTGCTGCATTTTCAGTTTGTCAAAATAGGATGTAAATAATACATGTATGCCAGTGTTTTAGTTATAATAATTTAATTTACGTAATGTTTATGTTGAATGTTGTGTAAAGCTTAGAAAGTTATAGTCTATCCTTAAGGCAAGCCATTTTCTTTGATTGGTATGGCAGACACGTTTTCTGTTGTAGCTTGGCTTGCTGACCTTGACCCGTTGACTCTTGCAAGTTGACGTGTTGACTCTGGGTTTTGTATGTTCTAATTACTTGAACTTCTCATCTTCCCTTATAATGTTAAAATATAAATACCAAAAGGTTAATTAAAATATATATTTCCTAGTTATATAAGTGTTTTGCACAGTTGCCAATCTTCTTTTATTTTCAGTGTTTCATAACTCCCCATTATAATGTATTCCTGAAACTGTTCATACTAGAGTGAAAGTTGACCTCCTTGGCCATGATGCGAGACCTTAGCATATACCACTGTTGCCACATTTGGTGGCGTGTTCATCACCATGTGCTCCAAGTGGGTCCACATGTCGCTTATAGATTTCATTTGAAAACTAGATTAGGTTTCAGTTTTGAAGGACTTGTAAAAATAGAGGTTTTGGCCAACCCACTGGGGAAGGGAGGTGGCCATTGTGAAGTGTGGCAGCCGTGTGTTGGTGCTCCAGCACCTGTGTACCAGATGCTCTAGGGGGGCTGGAACGTTTAGGGAGGTTGGTGGCCGGGGCCGGCAGTGTGGCCAGCACCAGCCTGTCGCTGCCTGGAGCCCGGCCTGTCGCTGCCTGGAGCCCGGCCTGTCGCTGCCTGGAGCCCGGCCTGTCGCTGCCTGGAGCCCGGCCTGTCGCTGCCTGGAGCCCGGCCTGTCGCTGCCTGGAGCCCGGCCTGTCGCTGCCTGGAGCCCGGCCTGTCGCTGCCTGGAGCCCGGCCTGTCGCTGCCTGGAGCCCGGCCTGTCGCTGCGTGGAGCCCGGCCTGTCGCTGCGTGGAGCCCGGCCTGTCGCTGCGTGGAGCCCGGCCTGTCGCTGCGTGGAGCCCGGCCTGTCGCTGCGTGGAGCCCGGCCTGTCGCTGCCTGGAGCCCGGCCTGTCGCTGCCTGGAGCCCGGCCTGTCGCTGCCTGGAGCCCGGCCTGTCGCTGCCTGGAGCCCGGCCTGTCGCTGCCTGGAGCCCGGCCTGTCGCTGCCTGGAGCCCGGCCTGTCGCTGCCTGGAGCCCGGCCTGTCGCTGCCTGGAGCCCGGCCTGTCGCTGCCTGGAGCCCGGCCTGTCGCTGCCTGGAGCCCGGCCTGTCGCTGCCTGGAGCCCGGCCTGTCGCTGCCTGGAGCCCGGCCTGTCGCTGCCTGGAGCCCGGCCTGTCGCTGCCTGGAGCCCGGCCTGTCGCTGCGTGCGAGCTCTTAGTCGCATGTTGGTGGCTTACATTATTACATTGGTAGTCTTGCGAGGGGGGGTCCACTGGTGTTGATATTTTTTTAGTGGTGTCAGTATTCGGTTTCTTGTGCTGTCTTATTATTTAATGTCGTTTAGTGCGTCAGTATGAAATCAAAACATGGCAGCAATGACTTTTGAGTCATGAAAATCAGTTCCAGAATTTTTGTTCTCCCATTTGAAGACTAACGCACGTCAGATATGAAAATATGCTTTTATGGTCATGCATTTGAAAATAATAATGTAGTTACGTGTTAAGACAAGTTGATATAAGACAAAGCATTATATGACCAATTATAGGCTAATGTGTTTATCGTGAAAGTTATCTTAAAGTAGCTGAAAAAATGTTTTCCGCTAAAAAAAAAATTGAAAGTTTTTTTTAATCAGTGAATATGTGTATTAAGTATTATTTGAAGGAGGTTATTGTAAATGTTGTGTATGAAGTGTACTGACGGTTGTATGGTGTGTGTGTCCAGGCGGAGCTGGTGGCCACGACGCAGACCAACATAAAGTGCCTGGCGGAGGTGGTGCGCCACCTGCAGATGGAGGGAACACTGGAGCCGGAACTACTGGAGGTCCAGAGTGAGTACAACTTTATATAGTTTCATGTTACTGATTCCTGGCACTTGTGGCCCACATCGCCGTCACTTGCTGCTAACTTGCCCACGCTTCTTCACGACTTTGCTCAGGGCGTGTTTAGGTAAGAATGATTGAATTATGTAATGAAGGATTGCATAATTAGCCTGAGCATGATAACGTTGGTGAAGGTGAGTTTGCAAGTTTCTCTGCGTAGACCATAGATGCAACGGTAACTATGCATCCCATAGATGCAACGGATTTACACTCATATTGTGTAGAAACTGGTTGTGTTTTAAATTGTATTTTCAGAATGTCAATTGTAAATCATTATTGATAAAAGTGGAGTTGTAAATACAACCATTGAACCTAGCAACTTGGGTAAACTGATTACTGTATAACGTGACGTGACTATATCTTAGACCTTAGACCAAGGTCATCTTAGACCTTAAACGAAGACTTGACAATGGTCCAGGACTGGACGAAACGTCGTCAATTCCTTTATTTTCATGTGTGTATGGGTGTTGGGCGTCTTAACTCTCGGCCAAGTTATTATGACTTATTGTCTGCTGTCAGTGTCACCTTTTCTGACTTCTTAGTTAGGCTCCTTAGGCGTTTATTAAATGAGACTTGAGTAACATTTGTGCCAAAGTCTAAACCTAGAGGAAGGTCAATTTTTTTTTAAGGAAGTTTTTAGGAACTGTCTTAAGGAAGACGACAGTTTTCAGGAAGTTACATAGCACTGGGTTGGGGGGGGGGCTTTAGCTATTATATACATGGTATTATTCCCTTCTTGCCTAATACTATTTGACGTTTATATGTGTTAAACTGTCGAATTTGTTAGACCTTTCCAGGGGTCCAATTAGGTTTCCAGTTAGGCTCGACGAATACAGTACAAAGTTTGAAATCCATGCGTTATTCCTCACCTAACATAAACAACTCACTAGCATGATAAATTGTCGCTCTACGAAGTATTATATACTTTGTTAGCGATTAAATAATAAATTATAAGTGTTACAAATTATATGTGAAAGTCATATGAAGCTGAGCGGGATGTGTGGTGAGAATTGTGGCAGGTGGTGGTATTGGTGGCAACACTGCTCCCCTACACCCTCCTTCCCCTACACCCTCCCCCCCCTACACCCTCCCCCCCCTACACCCAGCTCCTGCACTCTGATTCAGATTATTTTATTCAGGTAAAGGTATATTCATAGTTACATAATGTTGGATTTAAAGATAATAGTACATACAGTACCTAAAGCCACTAGTACGCATAGCGTTTCGGTTTTCGTTTCTCTCTCTCCTCCCACCCCGACACCGAGCAGCTACGTCAGGTGGGAGGACAGGAGCAACTGTGGTACACATAACGTAACTATGTGCACCATAGTACAAACATTGTTGTACTAATTGCTAAGTACATCAATCTGAGAGTTCTGCGGCAACAATCAGAAATTAGCCTAAACTTTAACTGCTATCTTATCCAATTTGTTAGTTGTATCCAGATAAATCGGAAAAAAAGCAGAAGCCATAATTGTTGGTGCATGAGGACACTGGTGAGAGTTTGGTGCACAACCCCTATGTTGACGGGCTTCCCCCCCCCCCATAAAACCATTGATGGTGTAGGGACGAGGAACTCATCTAAGAGGCGTTGTCAGCCCTGGTCTTGAACCAGTCTCTTTGGGGAGCCGGTGGCTGAGCGGACAGAACACTGGACGCTTGATCCCGGGCGCCGGCGAGAAACAATGGGCAGAGTTTCTTTCACTCTGATGCCCTTGTTACCTAGCAGTAAATAGGTACCTGGGAGTTAGTCAGCTGTCACGGGGGGCTTCCTGGGGGTGGAGGCCTGGTCGAGGACCGGGCCGCGGAGACACTAAGACCCGAAATCTTCTCAAGATAACCTCAAGATAACCCTCACCGCGAGGTCTTCCGTACAGGAACAGCAGTTGACAGTGGATGAGGCAGGATTCATCAAGCATTTACGCATCCACTCGCGAAATCTGTACATCTGTTGAGGACCTTAAACATAATACAGGATACAAAACACAATCAAATCTGCCCATAGTAGTTGAAACAGCATGTAAAGGATTTGGAAATAGTGATGTGTATAGTGGATGTTCCTCCAGTGTGTTGCTGGAGTGTTGTGTTTGTGGCTGGTGCTGTGTGTCACGTCTGGTCCAGCAGTGTTGTGGTATTGTGCTACACAGTACTCGTCATGAGTATACAAATGTTTCTAACAAACTGGATGCCAATCCGGGTATCGCTAACTACCAGTGTTGCATCAGGAAGCAAGAATTATTACAACTGTAACAGTATTTACATGAGTTCTACAGGTTTGGACATTAAAATATCATTTTTCTTAAAGATCACTTAAAGCAATAAACCAACATGATAAAAACATTAGCCAACCCAAAAGTCTACCATCATGATTACCAGTGAGTGTGAGTAAGAGTGAGGGTCAATGACACTCTTGGAATGCCAGCTTCCTGAAAGGTGTGATCACGACAGTCTTGACTCGCTGCTCCCGTAAGACGCTTGTCGAGAACAGTACTTACTGGAGAAGGATGTGCGGTGATGTGCGCGGGCGGCAGCCTCGTCGCCGACTGACACAACCTTACACCAGTTGCTTTGGGAATACAAACCTGCAACGTTGTCAAGGATTCCAAGATCGTTTTATCTGGTATGTTGTAGTTTCCTGTCAGCACTACACCACCCCGGCACAACTACACCCTGGGTTGTGGGGATTATTGGTCTCCATTAACTAAGTGACCTGACTCCTAATCACTCTCAAATACTTTTATTATGTGGGACATTAGAGCAACTGGTCTGTGATTCTTTGACAATGCTTTGCTCCCTCCTTTGTGTAGAGGGGCTATGTCTGCTTCTTTAAGTGTATCTGGTACTTTTATTTGGTACCCCGTTGCTGGTACCCCGTGTCCAAGCTCTGCCTCCACACTATATCGAGTGCTTGTGCTACTGGCACTTTGTATTTCTTTATTAATATTGAACATGCCTCAACCAGGGGCCGAGTCCATGGGCATGTTGTAAATTTCTCTCTCAAAATCTGCCACACTCGTGTTGATATCAGTTATATAAACTACTCATCAATCAAGTTAAAGAAATGTACAGTATTGTATCTTGGATGTATTTCCCCAAATTGTAACTAATCATTCCAAGTTGGTGTATCATAGTGACCACACTGTAAGCTAGCATACACTATCTGCAAGTCTCTTGAGCCAACTACTGTAACGTTAGCTACAGGAATGTTATTATATCACAACCCTTGAAGCGTCATCACATGCTGTACTTGAATGTTGCCACCAGAGCGGCTAGTTTATTGTGCACCCCATACTCATATTGTGAGCAGTAGCGCAAGAAGGATTACATAGGGCACAAATGGTCTTTATCAGACCTCAACGGAGATATTTATATTAACAATTACATCTATCCTGCACACCATATAATTATAGTTGGATAGTAACAGACTTTTGCACTTCAATAACTATGAATTCGCTGTTAATTATGCATTAATGGCAGATCTTTTCGCTAATACATAATTGTTTGAGGTATGGAGATATTACAGTCGTAGGAAAGCTGTTGTTTTTATTATTAGTTTTCATAAGATTTCACAACTCACAGGATGGGCATGGGTGTGCACCACAACTCTCAGGATGGGCATGGGTGTGCACCACAACTCACAGGATGGGCATGGGTGTGCACCACAACTCACAGGATGGGCATGGGTGTGCACCACAACTCTCAGGATGGGCATGGGTGTGCACCACAACTCACAGGATGGGCATGGGTGTGCACCACAACTCTCAGGATGGGCATGAGGGTGCATAATAAGTAAATAAAAGCATTGTGAGGGGAGAGCGAGCGTGAGCCGCAGGGAGGTGGGCCGTTGTGTAGGGGGCGCCAGGTTCTCGTGTTTACCCCTACCTTGAGGGGTAAGAGCAGTGTCTGGTTACATCGTCTCCGAGCGGTCGTCGTGTAGCGTGGCAGATGGTAGCGGGTGTATACGGAACGTCTTGTGCCCCCCCATCACCAGTCTCGCAGAGTCGAGCAGGTCATCCCAGGAAACCAGTAAACAATCTCTCTTTCAAGGAGCACCTAAACAGAAATGTACATATGTTTATTACGAGAGAGAGAGAGAGGGAGGGGAGGAGAGAGAGAGGGGGGGGGAGAGAGGGAGGGGGAACGAAAACCAGAACACGTTGGTATAGGTGGCGACAATGTGGTGTCCAGTAACTTGAGCCTCTGCCAACCCGTAAGGCCCCGGGCAGCGCCACGCGCCACACGGGGGCCTGACAGCCGAGTGAACAGCGCTCGGGATTCATAGTCCTAGGGTCCGGGGATTGATCCTCGGCGGCTGATACAAATGGTCAGGTTCTTTTACCCTGATGCGCCTGTTCACCTTGCAGTAAATGGGTACCTGGGAGATAAACAGCTGCTAAGGGCGGCTTCCTGGAGTGGTGTGTGTGTGTATGGAAAAAATAAATAAATCAGTTGATTGCAGTGTCAGAATGGGTAACAAATGGAATGCATTAGGCAGTGATGTGGTGGAGGCTGACTCCATACACAGTTTCAAATGCAGATATGATAGAGCCCAGTAGGCTCAGGAATCTGTACACCAATTGATTGACGGTTGAGAGGCGGGACCAAAGAACCAGAGCTCAACCCCCGCAAGCACAATTAGGTGAGTACACCCACACACGCGCGGCCTCTCAAACTCCCAACCAATTTCATGAGTCTGTTAAAAATGTCAGCGTGTTAATACTCTTATTAACTTTTGACGGGGACAGGGAGCCTGTTAGGCTTAACGAGGTCCCTCCCCCCCCTCCCCTTAGGTCTACTGTTGACCTTAACCAGGAAGCTATACATAACGGTTGTCTAACTTCCGGCATCTATTTATTGCTAGGTGAACAGAGGCATCAGGTAAAAGCAAATTTTCCCTAACGTATCCGTCATGTGGCGGAAATTGAGCCTGGGACATAAATAATTAAATG